GAACCACTGATCTCAAGTGATCCACCTGCCTTGGCCTCCCAAATTGCTGGGATTACAGGCGTGAGCCACCACGCCCGACTGTTTCTTGACCTTTTAATAATTGTCATTCTGACTGGCAAGCCTTGCTTTCTTAAACAAGTCAAAAATCTTCTAGCATGAAGCAGGAAAAGGATATACTAAAATAAGTAATGGTAGTTCACATGAACAGAACTGAGTGGTTAGTTCAAATATTACCCTACTGCTCTCCATGAAGGTATTTTCTCTTAGCCCTTTAAATTCCTCTTCCTGGCTGGGTGCAGTGGCTCCCACCTGTAATCCCAGCAGTTTGGGAGTTCGAGGTGGGTGGATCACTTGAGGTCAGTCATTCGAGACTAGCCTGGCTAACGTGGTGAAACCCTGTCTCTACAAAAAATACAAAGATTAGCTGGCCGTGGTGATGCATGCCTGTAATCCCAGTTACTCAGGAGGCTGAGGCAGGAGAATCACTTGAACCCGGGAGGCAGAGGTTGCAGTGAGCTGAGATCATGCCACTGCACTCCAGCCTGGGCAACACAGCAAGACTCCATTTCAAAAAATAAATAAATAAATAAATAAATAAGCAAATAAATTCCTCTTCCAAGGTTCCAAACCCTAATTTCCCACCCCTACCCTCCTGAGAGACTTTTTTCAAAAACTTAGCATGTCAGTTCTGAAGTAAAAGGAGAATAAGATACTTAAGTAATTAAGCATGTGCGGATACCCTATGCAGTCAGGATAAGATCTTTTAGCCGGGCGTAGTGGCTCACGCCTGTAATCCCACCACTTTGGGAGGCCGCGGCAGGTGGATCATGAGGTCAAGAGATCGAGACCATCCTGGCCAACATGGTGAAACCCCGTCTCTACTAAAAATACAAAAATTAGCTGGAGCGTGGTGGCACGTGCCTGTAGTCCCAGCAACTCGCGAGGCTGAGGCAGGAGAATCACTTGAACCAGGGAGGCGGAGGTTGCAGTGAGCCGAGATCGTGCCACTATACTCCAGCTTGGCATCCGAGTGAGACTTCGTCTCAAAAGAAAAAAAAATCTGTTTATGTAGCTACAACAAGCAGGTTCTCATATTTCAAGGAATCCCCAATATTATAGCAATAGATAAATAAGAAAATGTAGCATTCCACCATGGAATACTATACAGCCATAAAAAGATATGATATCACGTCCCTTTCAGGGACATGGATGGAGGTGAAGCCATCAGCAAACTAACATAATAACAGAAAAACAATACCGCATGTTCTCACTTATAAGTAGGAACTGAACAATGAGAACACATGGACGCAGGGTGGGGAACAGCACACACTGGGGCCTGTTGGGGGGGTGGGGGAAGGGAGAGGATCAGGATAAACTGCTGATGCAGCTGGGCTTAATACCAAGGTGATGGGTTGATAGGTGCAGCAAAACACCAAGGCACACGTTTACCTGTGTAACAAACCTGCATGTCCTGCACATGTATTCCGAAACTTAAAATTTTGAGGGCCAGCCATGGTGGCTTACGCCTGTAATCCCAGCACTTTGGGAAGCTGAGATGAGTGGATCATGAGGTCAGGAGATAGAGACTGTCCTGGCTAACACAGTGAAACCCCATCTCTACTAAAAATACAAAAAATTAGCTGGGTGTGGTGGCACGTGCCTATAGTCCCAGCTACTTGAGAGGGTAAGGCAGGAGAATCGCTTGAACCCAGGAGGCAGAGGTTGCAGTGAGCTGAGATCGCACCACTGCATTCCAGCCTGGGCGACAGAGCGAGACTGTGTCACAAAAAAAAAAAAAAAAAAATTAAATTTTGAAAAAAAAATGCAAGGCAGTGCAGCCTGAGTGGATAGCGAAATGGGACAAGCTGAACCTGGGATGGGAATAACAAGTAAATGAGGGAAGAAATGAGAATGATGAGTTCCCACCAGCTCCTTGGCTGCTTTCTTACCCATATATTTCTCTGTTCCTAGCATTTTGATTTTTTCTTCATTTCTATATTATTTAGAAGAGGAATTGTAGAGGAATGGGATGGAATGTAATATAGAATCATCATATTTGATGCATGCTAACTACTTTGGGAAAAGATTTGTATAAGACTGGGAGTTTGATTGTTGACTAAAGTGAGTTGTCAGATTAGAAGACAATGAAAATTGTTCAGGTTCTTTGCGCATCATTAGAACAAATTGGATGTGTTGTGGACCTAGGGAAACACTCAAATTCAGTCATCTCCCTGTTGGGAATAGGTTTGAGGAACCACTGGCCAACTTGCTAAATGAACAACATCGGACAGTGAAGGAGCTATTTGAACAGCTGAAGATGAAGAAATCTTCAGCCAAACAGCTGCAGGAAGTAGAGAAGGTTAAACCCCAGAGTAAGAAAGTTCATCAGACTCTGATTCTGGACCCAGCACAGAGGAAGAGACTCCAGCAGCAGATGCAGCAGGTAACACTTTCCTTGGTCATGTTAATATTGGATTATACCAAGGCCTAACTCTGAGGCCAGAAATTAACAGCTTTGTAAAAGTCAGTGATAGTTACCTTACCACCTGCTAAAACCATAGTATCTTCACATCCAGGAGCTCGAGAAGTCATCATGTTCATGCCCTGTGGCTCAAGGAAGAGAGCATACAAGGATACTAATGGTATTCAGAAATACAGATTTCAAAGAGTCCTTAGTAATCTATTCTGAAATTTAACAACCTTCACTGTGAGAAGTAGTTTTTTTTTTTCCTTTTTCTAATCTCAGTCCCTCTGGATTAAGATTAAGCTTCCTCTCGTTCTGTCATTTTGTTCAAGGGAACATGTCTGAGAGATTTATGCCAAGATTCTATGTTGTTCTCATACTCCTTTCAGAAAGCAAAATACATGTGATAAAGTTGCAAACATCTTAGTTATTGTCTCTCTGAGGGCTGGGTGATGGTGACTCACACCTGTAAACCCAGCACTTTGGGAGACTGAAGTGGGAGGATTGCTTGAGCCAGGGAGTTCAAGAGCAACCTGGGCAACATAGTGTGACCCTGTCTCTACAAAAAATAAAAATACATTAGCCAGGCATGGTGCCATGCACCTGTGGTCCCAGCTACTCAGGAGGCTGAGGTGGGAGGATTGCTTGAGCACAGGAGGTTGAGAGGGCGTGGAGCCATGATTGCATCACTGCACAGCAGCCTAGGTGACAGAGAGAGATCCTGTCTCCAAGAAGAAGAAAAAAAAAATCTCTCTGCGTTCCTGAAATGACAATGTGGCAACGTGTCACTTCATTATTTTCTTTCCATCCCCAGCACGTTCAGCTCTTGACCCAAATCCACCTTCTTGCCACCTGCAACCCCAATCTCAGTCCGGAGGCCAGTACCACCAGGATATTTCTTGTAAGTTTCCAAATATCCCTAACTCTAAAGACTAGAGTGTGAAATTAGCTTGGCAGGTTATTTCTCACAGTTATTCACTGATCATAATCTATATTTATTCTTCTCTCTTGGGTGTTTTTTATTGCTTTGCCTACTTTCTGTTAAGGCTTCCTGTGTTTGCTGAGAGAACATAAGCCACTGATTCCCATGAAAGGACAAGGAGTGTATTCAATTTTCTTAGTACTGTCCTTCTGATATTTTTATTGAATCCTCCTTATCTTTAGATCCAACCTAACTTTTTAGGTTTTTTGGTACCACTGTTCCTTTTATAGATGTTGAGACTGGGCACGGTGGCTATCCCTGTAATCCCAGGAGGCCAAAGCAGGCAGATTGCGTGACCCCAGTAGTTCGAGACCAGCTGGGGCAACATGCTGAAAGCCCATCTCTACAAAATACAAAAATTAGCCAGATGTGGTGCGTACCTGTAGTCTCAGCTACTTGGGAGGCAGAGATGGAAGGATAGCTTGAGCCTGGGAGGTAGGGGTTGCAGTGAGCTGAGATCGCGCCACTGCACTCCAGCCTGGGCGGCAGAGTGAGATCCGGTCTCAAATAATAAAATAAAAGTAATAGTCCTAATTCTTGGCTGGGTGCAGTGACTCATGCCTGTAATCTCAGCACCTTGGTAGGCTGAAGTGGCTGGATCGCTTGAGGTCAGGAGTTCGAGAACAGCTTGACCAACATGGTGAAATCCGGTCTCTACTTAAAATACAAAAAATAGCCGGGCATGCTGGAGGGCGCCTGTAATTAATCCCAGCTACTTGGGAGGTGGATGCAGAAGAATCGCTTGAGCCTGGGAAGTGGAGACTTCAGTGAGTCAAGATCGTACCATTACACTCCAGCCTGGGCGACAGAGCGAGACTCCGTCTCAAAAAAAAAAAAAAAAAAAATGAATCTTCATTCTTCATAATCTTCATTCTAGTTCGAGAACTAGACCGTATATTCCTTAGTGTTTCTCACTAAGTCTAAAAGTAAACCAAGAATACAATCCCTGAATATCTGGGAACTCAGGTGTAATCTTAACAGAGTAGTTTATTGTGAAAGACTTTATGATGATTTTTACCTGTTTTTATCCTGTAGTAGGAAGGTCAGCTTCTCATTTAGATTCTGAAGGCTACTGGTATTAATTATCTGGAATTGTCTTAGATCTTCTTGTGTCCTGTTTTCCCAGAAAGAGCTGGGAACCTTTGCTCAAAGCTCCATCGCCCTTCACCATCAGTACAACCCCAAGTTTCAGACCCTCTTCCAACCCTGTAACTTGATGGGAGCTATGCAGCTTATTGAAGACTTCAGCACACATGTCAGCATTGACTGCAGCCCTCATAAAACTGTCAAGAAGACTGGTAGGAGACAGATGTGTCAGCTTTAAGTTTTTACTTGCGGTGAGAGGTGGTGGGAATCTTATCCCATAGATAACTTCCTAGGATACTTGCCTAGGAATGGAGGACACAGGACATTTGTAATTTCTTTCTTCTCTCTTTTATCCTCCCTTTGTACTCATTATCTGAGTTCTAGAATTACATGATAATCTCTGGGCCTGGGTAAGGCATGAAGGCAGTGGACAGTATAGGAGTATGGGAGGTAGTGATATGAGGCTCAGTGCTAAGAATTGGACTATAGCAATCTGAGGGATATTAGGAGTCAGATCAAATTAAACTGGGGCCTGGTAAAGATGAAAGTCAGGTGGTAAAGTTTGGTCATGTTTAGCTTTTTACTCTCTTCATTAAGTTTGGTCATGTTTAGCTTTTTCCTGTCTTCAACTAAGGCCAGGTGCTGTGGTTCACACCTATAATCCTAGTACTTTGGGAGGCCGAGTCAGGGGGAACACAAGGTCAGGAGATTGAGACCATCCTGGCTCACACAGTGAAACCCCGTCTCTACTAAAAATACAAAAATTAGCCAGGCGTGGGAGCACGCGCCTGTAGTCCCAGTTACTTGGGAGGCTGAGGCAGGAAAATTGCTTGAACCCAGGAGGCAGAGGTTGCAGTGAGTCGAGATTGTGTCATTGCCCTCCAGCCTGGGCGACAGAGCGAGACTGCATCTCAAAAAAAAAAAAAAAAAAAAAAAATCGGCTAACTTTATTTACCATACTGACTGCAGCGTAAGTGGTATCTCCATTCTGAATGAAATGTTGACTTGGGAGTTACGCATAAATTAGAGATTATACATTTGCCGTGTTCAGTATTGTAAAGAAATTTGCAGGTTTAGATTCTACCTTGCGTTGGTTTAGTATTTTTTGAGAAAATATTTGCTATTTACTTAAGCCAAATATTTGCTTCTGGTTTGTTTCCTGATTTAGCAAATTAGTTGTGGTTTGTTCTGGATTTGTGTTTGTCTTTGGATTCTATTTTAAATCCCTGAGTCTTTTTGTTAAGTTGAATATAGTTGTATTTAAGTGTATTATATCGTAGACACAGATCCCAAACTACTTGAATAGCTGTATTAACTGATATGAAATGGTGATGAAAACTTGATTTAACACCAAATTATAATAATATCTTACACATCTGTTGACCTGTTGCTTTCTTCGGGGGATATAAAAATAACGCTTATGGAAGGAGAAATACGGATATAGTAGTTTTGTCTTTAGAATTGCAGAGGTTCCTGAAAGTGAGAGACTGAGAGAGGGAGAGAGAAATGAATGAGACTGAATTGTCTCATTCCTTTTATGGTTCTTTTGTTCCCAACCTCAGGAGGAATCTGGGAGAACTTAATGCAAGTTAAGTAAAAATCAAATAAAAGTAAAATTTGGAATACCAGATTTGTGAGGGAGATTAAAGAAGTTGGAATCTTATTCTGGAAGAAAGAAAGCATTGTTGAAGGTCTCTTATCCTTCGAGGATTTAAGGGGGGAAGGAGGTAAAACATTTTTGAGCATACACTATTGCCAGCTCCTTTTATTACTAGGTGCTTTTTAAGTGTTTGTTTTACTTAGTGAATAAAGTGTTCCATGTAAGAAAGAGTCAACTTTTATTGCCATTGAATGGGACTCCCTTTAGATACAATGTTAGCTTAAGAAAGACTGTGGAAACTCTTTGGGGAATGGTGGGCAGATGGGAGGGAAATCCAGTTAGATAAGGACAGCTCTACCTAAATGCAAAAATGCATTCACGGGCTTTTTGAAGCCCTGTTTTGTCTTATAAGTTGATTTATCCGAGATTTATTTTCTTATAGCCAATGAATTTCCCTGTTTGCCAAAGCAAGTGGCTTGGATCCTGGCCACAAGCAAGGTTTTCATGTATCCAGAGTTACTTCCAGTGTGTTCCCTGAAGGCAAAGAATCCCCAGGATAAGATCGTCTTCACCAAGGCTGAGGACAAGTAAGTGTTTACTCTGGGGGATCAAAACAGCAGAATATCCCAAGGAGAAGACATAGTTCCTTTGAGGAGTTTAGGGGAAGTAAGATTTGTATAATAAAACATGGACACAAAAGACAAAAGGAAGAGCAGTATAGATGAGCAGAGCCCTCTAGGAGATGCTTGTTCTAGCAGTGCCAAATACTGCTTTTTGGGGGAATGTCACACACATTTTTAAAGCATTTTAGACCGGAGATGGTGGCTCCCACCTGTAGTCCCAACACTTTGAAAGGCCAAAGCAGGAAGTTCGCTTTTATTTTATTTTATTTTATGTTATTTATTTATGTAGAGACAGGATCTTACTCTGTCACCCAGGCAATCACAGCTCACTGCAGCCTTGAACTCCTGAGATCAAGTGATCCTTGCACCTCAGCCTCCACGGAGCAGCTGGGACCCCAGGCGTGTGCCACCATACATGGCTCATTTTTTTGTGTGTGCAGATGAGGGTCTCTCTGTGTTATCCAGGCATCTTTCAAACTCCTGGACTCAAGGCATCCTCCCACCTTGGCCTCCCAAAGTGCTGGGATTACAGGCATGAGCCACCACACCCACCAGATTATGAACATTTTTATGGCCCTTTGTGTGTATTGCCACACTGTTATCAGCACATATGTATATATGCAACCACGATTATCTATGTTGTTAGAGGGTAGTATTGGTGCTGGTTTAAGTTGTCTGACAGGGTACCTATTCATTTTGTATTAGTTTTACTAGAATCATTCTCCTTCCTTTGTATTCTCTTTGAAGTTCCTTTGTGTTGTTAGTATACAGCTCATCATGATACAGCTCATCATGATCTCACGTTTATTAATGATTTATGCCTAGTTTCTTATGTTCCCACGTAATTGTGAAGTATTTGATTTTTTTTAAATGGAGTCTCACTCTTGTCACCCAGGCTGGACTGCAGTGATGCAATCTCGGCTCACTGCAACCTTCGCCCTCTGGGTTCAAGCAATTCTTCTGCCGAAGTAGCTGGGATTACAGGTGCTCACCACTATACCTGGCTATTTTTTGTATTTTTAGTAGAGACGGGGTTTCACCATGTTGGCCAGGCTGGTCTCGAACTCCTGACCTCAAGTGATCTGCCTGCCTCGGCCTCCCGAAGTGCGGGATTACAGATGTGAGCCATTGTGCCTGGCCTTATTCTTACTTATAATACTTAATCAGTACTCACTAAGCATCTGAAATTTTCTATTGAGTAGTCACCAACTTGTACAAGAATTAGATTTAGAAAAAGTAGATTGGCCAGGCATGGTGGCTCATACCTGTAATACCAGCACTTTGAGAGGCTGAGGCAGGAGGATTGCTTGAGGCCAGGAGTTTAAGATCAGCCAGGGCAACAAAGTGAGAACTGGTCTCTACAAATAATGGAAGAAAAAAATTAGCCAGGCATGGTGGTGAACGTCTGTGGTCACAGATGCTTGGGAGGCTGAAGTGTGGGAATCGATTGAACCCAGGCATTCAAGGCTGCAGTGCACTGTAATCATGCCACTGCTCTCCAGTCTGGGCATCAGAGCAAGACCCTGTCTGAAAAAAATGAAAAAGTAGATTGGGTCACACACCATGGCTCATGCCTGTAATCCCAGCACTTTGGGAGGCTGAGACTAGAGAATCGTTTCAGCCTAGGAAGTAGAGGCTGCAGTGGGCTGCAATTGTGCCACTGCATCCTGGCCTGGGTGACAGCGTGAGACCTTGTCTCAAGAAAAAAATAAAATAAAAAAGAAAGAGTAGATCGTAAAATGTGTTAGTCTGGGGAGACCCTTTAGAAGGAAGGACTGTGAAGTGAGATTTAGTGTCATTGCTCCTTTCTCAGTTTGTTAGCTTTAGGACTGAAGCATTTTGAAGGAACTGAGTTTCCTAATCCTCTAATCAGCAAGTACCTTCTAACCTGCAAAACTGCGCACCAACTGACAGTGAGAATCAAGAACCTCAACATGAACAGAGCTCCTGACAACATCATTAAAGTGAGTGTTTCCTGCATGTGCCATCCGGGCACCTCACCAATATGTACTCATTCTTTTCTCTTGTTATTCTCAAAGAAAAGAGGAACCTTCTTTTATCTAAAGCACTGACAGTATTCCACTTATATGCTTTGTGTGTGTGTGTGTGTCAGACAGACTCTTGCTCTGTCACTAAGGCTGGAGTACAGTGGCGTGATCTTGGCTCACTGCAGTCTTTACCTCCCAAGTTCAAGCGATTCTCCTGCCTCAGTGTCTCTCCTGCATCAGCATCCCAAGTAGCTTGGATTACAAGCATGCACCACCATGCCTGGCTAATTTTTGTATTTTTAGTAGGGACGAGGTTTCACCATGTTGGCCAGGCTGGTCTCAAACCTCTGACCTTAAGTGATCCACCTGCCTTGGCCTCCCAAAGTGCTGGGATTACAGGTGTGAGCCACTGCACCCTGTTTCTTCTTTTTTATTTAGATACTTATTTATGTTGTGTTTTTATTTAATTTTATTTTTGTTTTTTGAGACGGAGTTTTTGCTCTTCTTGCCCAGGCTGGAGTACAACGGCATGATCTTGGCTCACCGCAACCTCCACCTCCTAGGTTCAAGCAATTCTCCTACCTCAGCCTTCCAAAGTAGTTGGGATTATAGGCATGCACTACCAAGCCCAGCTAATTTTGTATTTTTAGTAGAGATGGGGTTTCTCTGTGTGGGTCAGGCTGGTCTTGAATTCCCGACCTATCAGCCCACCTCGGCGTCCCCAAGTGCTGGGATTATAAGCGTGAGCCACCATGCCCGGCCTATGTTGTGTTTTTAGAGACAGTTTCTTGCTCTATCATCCTGTCTGGAGTCCATTGGCACAGTCGTAGGTCACTGTAGCCACAAACTCCTGGGTTCAAGTGATTCTTCCACTTCAGCCTACCAAGTAGCCTGGAGTACAGGCACGTTCCACCAAGCCTAGCTCATTATTTTATTTTGTGTAGAGATGCTGTGTCACTTTGTTGCCCAGACTGGTCTTGAAGTTTTGACAACTGTCAGTCTGCCTGCCTCAACTTGGCCTCCCAAAGTGTTGGGATTACAGGCGTGAGCCACTATGCCCAGGCTTTTGTTTTGTTTTGTTTTTGTTTTTTTCTTGAGATAGGCTTTTACTCTGCTACCCAGGCTGGAGTACAGTGGTATCATAGCTCACTGTAGCTTCGAACACCTGGGCTCAAGCATTCCTCCCACCTCAGCCTCCCAAGGAACTGGGATTATGTGCATGAGCTACCTTGCTTGCGTATTAAAAAAAAAATTTTTTTTCAGAAATGGAATGTCCCTATATTGCCCAGGCTGGTCTAGAATTTTTCGCCTTAGGCAGTTCTCCTGTCTCAGCCTCTAATTGCTGCTTCCTGGTATATTGGATTTAGGCCTTATTTATTAACCATTAACCATAAGCCAGGGAAGTTGAGGATTTATCTGTCTCCTCACTCCCTTGCTCCCACCACAAACATGCACATTTTCTGCTCTCCAATCTCCTCACTAGTAAATATGTCACAATTTTGGTTAGGTTGTATTCAGGGTTTACACTGTAAAATTTTAAGGACTGTATAAATGCTCTTCATATCTGAGCTTTGTTATTGTAATACCTTGCCTTTCCTGCTGAACGTTTTATTTCTCTTGGAGTAAATAATCACATTTTTTAGGGGAATGGGGCTGGACTTGATTTTATTATGTAATTATTCCCAGATCAACAGTAAAGGTTACTTAAATTTTCTTAATCTCCTTTCAGTATGTCTGGCCTTCTAGATATTCCGTCATTTTCATCTTGAAGGAATTGCTCCCTGAGCCCTCTGACACTATTCCACTCTAAGCGTGTTGCCCTGTGGGCTTGCTGCACTGATATCTTCTTGGACTTTTTCTTCACCATAATCCTGGGGATTATTTTTGCCTCTTACTGTGTTGGATCTTCTTATTTCCTGAATTCTACATCTTTGTTTTTGTTTTACTTCCTTCCCTTAGTGGAATACATTCTAGTAGCATTTTTCTTTAAATTTTTTT